TTTTTTGAATATTTTGCCTGCGAAAATTACTTGGATATTATTTTTCTAAAAATATCGTGGAAATAAGGTAGGTTGATACAGAAACTATTTATCGCACGTGTACTGTATACGAGCTTCAAAATAAATAAATAAAAATAGATTTTATCAAACGATGAAATCAGCCGATTAATTGTATCGTGTACAATATTTTACACCCCCAAGGAAAATACTGCAGGTGTAGGGTAAAATAAATTTTGTTTTCTCACAGTTAAACTTCGCCGCTAATTGCTGTTGTGATAACTTTAATACGATCTTCTAACGACAGCACTTTGCATTTCGGACATTTTTCAACAAACTGAAATGAATTTCCTTTGTTGCTAGACTAATTTATTAACACCTGCACCTAATTTCAAGGGTAGGATAAGTGCCCACAATGGGTTCTTACAATAGTTTAAACTAGATAAATTCTCGAAAGTGGTCGCTTATTACAGGTGGTCGTTTAATACGGGTAACTTATACGAAGACTCTATGGATAAACTATTCCGTGCTAGAAATTTTTGCCCGTTTTGACAGGTGCCCGTCGAATGCAGGTGGTCGCCTAAGCAGTTTTCAATGTATTTTAACATGATTTTATGTGCTTTAAATGCTTTTTTAGTGATATTACGACTTCAATATTTGTGGCAGACAGACGTAAAGTCGAATGAAATTATTAAACTTGATTTTTATTTTTCCATATACTTTTTTGAAAAACGACATATAATCGGGAACGACGTAAGTCGAGGTATACCTGTATTGTGTTATATCACATTTAGCTTGCATATTATAGTTTTTAAATAAATATTAATACATTTTTAATGTAATTAAATGTACACATTTATTCAAGATAGATTATTAACATAACTTCTTTGCACCATTCTTTGATCTTTCCTTACTTTGCGTTATGTTATAAGAGCCAAGATATAACGTAATTAATGCTACCACTCTTCAACTTACCCTTCACCAGTGTCATCACAGAAAATGAAAATTGACTCTAAACTCTGCTTTCTTTTCTGTCATAATAAAATAAAGTATTGATATCGTGTAAAATTTGTTCCTTCAGGATTTTTTCAAACATTTTGAGCCCGGTTATTCAAAAAACCTGATTTAGCCTAAGTTGTAATAATTTATAACATTGAAAATTACTTACTTCGAAGAGGCCATTCTTTCAGCTTCATCAAGTCTTTCAGGAAGAGAACGGAAGACTTCATGCAAGGTGAAGATACGTTCACTTCTTCGAAAATTCTCATCAGATAAGGAAGACTGCGCTTTAAGACAGACTTCAAAGCCGTTTTGATTCTCATCTCCGCATTTTCTAACATCATCGACGTTTGTTGGAAATCATCGACGTCTTCAACATTTGTATTGTTGCATTTCGCGTAACACAAAAAGAGCGTCAAGATTAAGAAGTAATTAAGAAACCTTTCGTACTGCATTTTCGAAGCTTTCTCTGTCTCGATGAACAACTTGTAAGTCGATTTGCATTTACTTTCGTGACAAAGTTTGTAAAAATGGTTACAAAAAACTGGCTAATCAATGACAACTACTATCCTGGAACTTATTTACAAATTATTTGTTTTTTACAATACTAATAACTAAATAATTTTTGGATGTTTTAATTATTTCCGGTGTTGAAGTGACTCGATTATCGTTCAAATATTAAAAGAAAAAGTATAAAGATCGATTTTATAATTTTTAAAATATAATTGTTTATTTTAGTATTCAAGGGCAGAGTGTTTAGCTGACAAATGTAATACGTCGAATTGCGTGACAAAAATTTATAATTAAAATACTTTCTACTTTGTATTATTTCAAAAGTTATTTGCGAAAAATATGTCATTGCACAATCAAATAATTTTCTTGAGTAAATGTTCTTTTAGGCAAGGGTTCTTTTAGATATTTTACACTAAATGCGTATTTAATATACACTATCTATTTTCTTCTTAGAGATTGTTTGTGCAGATAGTAAAATCTTGGAATTAAATAAGCAGATGTAGTGAATTTTACTTTAAATGGCGAAAGTTAAACTGTCAACCTAATGCCTAACGCATAAATTCAAATTTCACTTCTACAATTTATCTAACGGTAGCAAGATACTTAGACATTGGATTTGAAGTGTCATGGAGGCGTTCGCCAGAGAGAAAGTTCACATAAAACTTCGCGCTGTTATAAATACCTCTAATCTGCAGAGAGCCATTTGTATACGACACGATCGTTCAACCGTTTCTAGAGTATTTTATACGCGAGAGTTCGGAACACACTGGGAACAGATCGAAAAAAGTGTATCAAGAACAGCAGTGGATAAATTCATTCAGCGGAGGTCGTGACGCAAGCGGTATGGAAGAGGTAATAATTAGTAATCTGCAGGAGATCGTATTCGGTGTTCCTATAGACAGAAACGGTTTTATATCCGTGTCTCTCTATAGCAACATTTCATGCAAAATTTAAGAAATTTGCGACCAAAAACAAGAGTTATAAAATTTAAATTAGATGAACAATAACGTCCCCCACCCAACACACACTAATTCGTATAAAATAACACCGAACTATTTTTTTTTTCATTTCTCGAAGAGTAAAAGACTGCGGAGTTAGTAAATATAAAAACCTTGACGAGGACGTTATCTGATCCATGTTTATTCTTTTCCGTTTTTCTATATGAACGCCGAAAAAGTAAACAATAATAATTTAGTGAAAATGAATAAATAATATTAAATAAATATAAATAAATATTATAATAAACTGCATAAACGTAATAATGGAAGAAATAGCTCCACAAATATAATTTTATTTATTATTAAAGTGTCTGAGATTTTAGAATTCGATAATAATTCAAGTAAGAAGTTCGAAAGCAGAATATTAATTCAATACAGGTGTTTGTAATTTACATTTCTATCAAGGACTCCGATATATTAGAAACTTCTTTTTTTACAAGGAGGAAATTCTTATTTTTTATATTCATAAGAGTTTATCAGATTTTTTAACAGTTGTTTCACGCAATCCACGTGTAGTGTACGTTGTTAGTCGTTATACCAATTTTTACTACTTTTCGCTTTATCTTATATATATAACAAATATTGCTGTCTTGTCTCTAGTTATAGCATCGAAAAAATTTGTTGAACGTCACCTTTATATATTATTTGTATTGTTCCTTTATAAGCAAGTGAATTCTCGATATTATAAAATTTATCCTGTGCAGTGCAATTATGTCTGTTACAAATATTAAATTTACCTTATTTATGTCAATAAATTAGTTTTTATTTTTGCAGCAGTTTCGCAGAGAGAAAGTATGAAATCGATTATAAAATGACCCGCATGATTTATTCTTTTTCTAGGGCTAACACATGTTAATATTGAGAAATAAAGAAACAATAAATTAAATTGATATATCGTTTTCTGTATAGATGTAGGCCTATATGAGAGGGACGATTTTGTTCGTTTTTTTTAAAGTATAATAGCTCCTGTTTCATTTTCACCGATAATTTGACGTGGAGATTTGTGTATTAAGAGGATTGATGTTATTAAATTTTAGTAGTTAAAAGTGGAAAGGAAGGAAGCCACTTATTACATCTCGAGCAATGTCGGATAACTTGAAGACATAACAGACGGCACCACACACAAATTCTACGTTTTTGTTGAAAAAGACGCGCAAGTCGATGCTTGTTTTTTATACTTCACATAAATCGTAAAGGGATCGTGAAAAAACGAACAAAATGGCAAGAAATATATCTGGAGAAGGAGGTACAGTGTTTCATTATATTAATACCGGCTTTCGACGCACAATATTGATGATGATGAGTATAACATTGAAATGATTTAATATTCTTGTTGATTCCGTCATGATGCGCGACAACCTTCATTTAAAGTAAAAGAAGAAGCCATAAACTGAAATAATATATGAAATATAAACCACAACTATATCCAGCAGAAAATAATTAAATATGTAATCAACACCTTATCCTTCGCTGAGAAATTATTTTTATTAAAACAAACGTTTTCGATCCATTCATTGGATCATCTTCAGGTTAAATAGAACACTTCATAAATACAACAACACGTTTAAATATTCGAAAATACAAATAAACCGATAACATAAAAATAAATAATACTTGTAAATACCATATAGAGTAGACCATATAGAGTTTAATATGTATCATACTAAATTTTATCCGCTTTTTCGGTAGAAAGCTTAAAAAAAGTGCATGAAATTTAGTATGATACATAGTAAACTCTATATGGTCTACTCTATATGGTATTTACAAGTATTATTTATTTTTATGTTATCGGTTTATTTGTATTTTCGAATATTTAAACGTGTTGTTGTATTTATGAAGTGTTCTATTTAACCTGAAGATGAACCAATGAATGAGTCGAAACGTTTGTTTTAATAAAAATAATCTCTTAGCGAAGGATAAGGTGTTGATTACATATTTAATATATGAAAATTAAAAAACTGGATGTCCTCGACTACTAAATGCTTAGAAAACATACAAGTCCACACCCTTTATGGAATTTTATCTTTCGTTTAAAAAACAAATTATTTTTCTTTTAGTTTAATTAATTTTTGTGAGTGTTCCGATAAAAATAACCTACTTCAGAAATACATTTGTTTTAAATTTCAAATTATAATACGTTTTGTCTGAAAACTGACGGACCTTTATTACCAACACTCGATATCCTCCAACCACACGTTTAGAAACTCGCTGCGTCACACCTGTGCGTGTTCAACGCAAATTAAAAATGTAAATATTTTACATCGCAAGGACAATAACGTTATTTTTTGTATATCTCCCTTTATTCTTGGTGCTTGCCTCCAATTTTAAAAATACATTAATAGATGATAACTTTCACATAAACTTTGCCGCTCTCGAACAGTTTTGGCTGTATACTATCTTATTCATCAAAAATGACTTCAGTTTTGGAACTCATTTAGAGAATAATAAAATATCATTATTAAATCACTATTCAATTTTTCAGTTTTAACTTGCACTATCTTATTGTAACAATTTCGAGAAAAAGTTTCGAGCATTGTCTCTTTCCTACTTCTTATTTAAAGATTTCATTCCCGATCAAATATGCATTTGGTTTGATGAATGAGTATACATCGTGTGACCGGAAGGTCGGCATTTCTTTGATGCTAGGTAACGACCGACGCGACCGTGTCTCGCGCGACACGGAAGCCGCGGCAGCAATTGTTTTGGGTTAGAAAATTGGTGACGCGAGCGGTCGCGTATGGCGCGATCGGATTCGGCTGGAGGCCAGTGAAACAGCGTTGGAAGCAAGACACTCAGATACTAGTTTAACCAACCAAATACCCTTTTATTTATCGTACTAGATCTACAGGTTGTTCGTAACAGTATGTGTTAAGGTGCGACCATGTAGACGCGAATTTAGAGCGAGCGAAAAATTGCGAGCGATTTAGTTTTCGGAAAGGAAAACCATGCACAAACGAGAAGCGAGAAATAACGCTAGCGAGAATTACTGATTGTCGCACATATCTGACAGGTTTTGATATTTATCGCGTCTCGCCTCTTGTCGCCACATATTCTCGCTCCCACGGGTTTCCATAGTCGCACCCTTAGGGTGCTACTATACAGACGCGAGCGAGCGGGAACGCGTTGTTATAGATACATCGAATCTAGAGAAAGCCGCTTGTATACGATATGATCGTACGACCGTATTTAGTATGACTTATACGTGAGAGTGCGAAACACACTAAGAATACTTCGAAAAAAGTGTATCGGAAACAGGAGTAAAACATTTTCTTGGTTAAAGGTCGTGACGGAGGTGAACCGAAATAGATAATAATATGTTATCGACAGAAGATCATATTTGGTGTTCCTATAGAGAAACACAGGGTTTTATATCCGTGACGAAACGAGTGACGACCGCTTTACCACGCAAAATTTCAAAACTTTTCGACCAAAAAACAAGATTTATAAAATTTTAATTGGATGAAGAATAACGTCTACCGCCAAACACACAATAATTTATATAAAATAACATTTAATTTTCCTTTTTCATTTTTCGAAGCGTCAAAGACTGATGAGTTCGTAAATATAAAAACCTTCATCGATGTTCATTCTTTTCCAGTGTTTTATAAAAACGCCATAAGATTAAACGCTATTTTAGTAAAAATGAATAAATAATATTAATTATATAAAAATAAATATTAATAAAGAACTACAGAGACGTAATAATTGAAAAAAATAGCTCCACAAATATAATTTCATTTATTATTAAAATGTCTGAGATTTTAAAATTTGATAATAATTTAAGTAACAGGTTCAAAAGCAGATTATTCATTCAAAACAGGTGTTTGTAATTTACTCCTTTTTATCAAAAACTCCGATATACATCTGTTACGAATTTTATTATCTTTATTTTATTTATGTCAATAAATTAGTTTTTATTTTTGCAGCATACAGAGAAAAACTAT